GTTCTTGTTGTACTACTACTATACAATCTTTTCCGAACTGTAGCAACATAAAAACGAATGAATTTGATAATTGTACTACTAAAAGAGTTTGTTATGTTTTCTTGTAATAAGATTAAGAATATATAAATGTTAATTAATGTAGTTCAAGAAAAATATAAAAAATTTTATTAAACCGGATCTTTGGTTTGTAGTTCAAGACCAGGTTGTACTGCAACCACGAGACTCTAGATTCATGCCATCTTTACCAAAAGAACATGATCAACTTTCTCACTCACATTTAAGAGTTTGCAATCGATATTCAAATTTAGTACAATTATAAGCATTAAGTTTGACGATCGTTAATGTTACTAAAATTTTTTAATGTTTCTAAATCCAGTCTAAGATGATTTTTTACTCCTAATTTTTGCCTTCTAAGACATTAACAGGAAACTTGAATCTCTTTAGACTTATACTACAAGTTCTATGAAAAAGATCATACAACCAATATTTACTATGTCTTCAAGGCGTCCACCATCGTCCACCATCTTGATAAGTACAAAGCTATGGGAACTCAACATGTATTGATTATCAAGGAATATAACACCAATTGTTCCAGATTCAGAGATAGATTACAATGTATCTCCATAACAACCACATATGTTTGTTCTCAAATACCTAAAACTATCGATCACCGCTCCCTTTCTCTCTCTGCTTCTATTTATACTACTAACAAACATGTGAACTTCTCTAATGTTATGTCAAACAGATAACCTTTGACGCCTTGTACATTTGCACTCACGTACTACTATTATAACAAAGAACTGCTTTCATCAGAACATTATCAATTCTCTCTTATTCGTAAAGAAAACATAAAATGCTTATTAAAAAGCCAAAAAAGAAAAAGAGAAAATAGATCACTCTTCTTCTTTAACCACTTCTTCCTCTTTCCGAGAGAACCTACTAAGATTAGATTTCGGTGAGCTACATTCAACAGTCTTTATAAACTTCTGGTTAAGAACCGAACCGCCAAGCTCAAGCTCATCTAGTCCTCTCTCTTTGCTCAAGTATCCCTTCACGTCAACTACACAGTCACGCCTTGAGCAAATCATCGCCTAATCACCTAATGCAAGGTCATGTAATCAGGAAATATTCCATTTGAAGCTGCAATATCCAAGTCAAGAAAAATCCATTGTTTGGTCCTTAGGAGCTGCTTAACTATGGCATGCTCCTTCAGCCAACTTCTTAGTCACTGCGAACCTATCACCACAAAATTTAGTAATCAATGGTCAGCATTCCCACCAATGGCATACATCTTCGGTGTGTCTACTCAATTTTAACTACATGGAAATACCCATGCCTGCACGTGCCATTTCACAAAAAAATTAACTGATAGAACAAAATGGCAACTTAAGTTTAAGAAGTTTAGAAAAGTAGTACATTGGCATTCTCTGCACTCGTCCTTCTCCAAAGTGATTGTAAGCGATGGTAACCAACATCATCTTGCTCAATACACAAAGCGAGACCATAAACTTATCACCTAAAGATAGTGATACACATACCTTGCAATGTTTGTGAAGAATCAAATCCTCACCTTGCTCAACCTCCATCATTTTTACAACCTCTTCCACCTACAAGTTCAAACGATTTCCCATAAAATTCTCTAAATGAAGTTTATGTAGTTATTTAGTATCGGCTTATGTAGTTATTTAGTATTTGATGATAAATAAACAACAAAATTATTTGACGAAAACTCATTTACTTAACTTTCATTTCAACTATTTTTCGTCACTAAATTTCTTAGAAAATGTCATAGAAAATGGTTTTGAATTGCAATGTAAAACAATTGAAAAATGACAAAAAATGAATTAATATTTTTCTTTCTTGTAAGTTAATTATCTTGGGATGACTATATTTTACGAATTTTAGACAACATTTACTAAAGAATACTGTAATTGTAAAACTAAAAAAGTTCTATGATTGTAAAAATATCAAGGAATACTATGATTTCTTTGTAAATAAAAGAATATAAAAAATATATTTTTTCAAGAAAAAAAACATACAAAAATTAGTTAAGCCGGATCCCCGGTTTTTTTC